TGGGAACAAGGCATGTAAAGTCGCCTACTGTCAGCCTCCACACCACCATGAGACGGATATGGGCTGCCTGGGGTGTGCAGTTGGTGAAGGAAATGCTATGCTTGACTATGATTGAGTCACATGTTCAAATACTCATGTATTAGTCATGATTTGTGTTCAAGCCTCCTTCCATGGGAAGAACCAGCGGTGGACCTGAAGAGCTCTGCCTTCAAATGGATGATGCACTCAGAACAGGCTGCTGGTGACTGAACCTCAATGACAGGGTCATCCTTTGCACCCAGCTCTCCAAGGGCACCTCGCTTAGGGAGGCTAAGCTCGGAGCCAAGTGCCTTTTGGAGTGCTCGCTTCTTCTACCAACAATGGCAGATTTCCATCTGTGCTGCCAAACAAGTAAGTTCTTTCCTTAAGGAACACTTACAAAGTATGACTTCCAGGCCGGGCATGGTGGCCTGAAATCCCAGCACTTTGGGAGGCCAAGGTGGGTTGATCACCTGAGGTCAGGAGTTTGTGACTAGCCTGGCCAACATAGAGAAACCACGTCTCTACTAAAAATACAAAAACTAGCCAGGTGTGGTGGTGGGTGCCTGTAATCCCAGCTACTTGGGAGGCTGAGGCAGGAGAATCACTTGAACCCGGGAGGCAGAGGTTGCAGTAAGCCGAGACCATACCATCACATGCCAGCCTGGGCAACAAGAGTGAAACTCTGTCTCAAAAAAAAAAACAAAAAACAAAAACAAAAAACAGACTTCCTTTTCCTAGAAAACTAAGGCCCCCAAAAGGAAAATTATTTCTCTTTGGCTGTTCAGGAACAATTGCTCATCCCCTTTCGATTTTTTTACTTTTAGCTCCTCCTCAAGGAAGTTAAAGGATGTTTTCTGCTATTAGTAGGTTGTGGTTTTTAGAGGAAAATATTTCTAGTATTGAGATATAAACTGGGAATTGCTGATCATCCATGGAACAAGAATTTTAAAAACAAGACCAGACCCTAGCTCCTACAGATGTCATGGTTGATAGCTTAGTACCAAAGCACAAACATCTTCTGAGTGGGAAAGCAGGTATGGAGCTTCCTTGCCCACCTGACACCTCAGCCAACATGTACAGAATTGGGGCCCTCCAAAACTTGGGCCTCTTCCAAGGTTCTCAAAGTCAATTAAGGGCATCACTTGTGTCAGTGTGGGTCCTCCTAGAGCAAACACCAAGGTAGAATTAAACCTGGAAGAGTTGATTGGGGAGAATGCCTGTGGTGAATAAAGAGGAACTGAAGCAAGAGTAACCAGAGAGAACCTCATACCGTAATGCAGGTCTGACCCCTGTGAAAGGGGAGAGGGAAGGAGAGAATAGGAAGAGCCTCATATTGCAGAGCCATTCTGAGAAAGTGCTGGCCAGCCAGGCTGATAGAAAGCCCCAGGGTATGGGTAGCCTAATAGAAAAGTTCCACCTCTGGCATTCCCACTTACAGCATCAGATGCATCTTGCAGCATTTAGGATGGTATTCTATACTTGACTGATTGTTTTATTACCTCACTCAGGTGTGTTTCCCAAGGGCAGAGACCACATTTGGTTTTGCTCATCACTGAAACCCAGCATTAGCAGGATGAGCTGCATTTTGTAGCTGCCAGAGAATATTTGTTAAATGAAGTTTCTAAAAGGGTTATTTGATTTTTTCTTGTTTTTGAGATGGAGTTTTTGCTCTTGTTACCCAGGCCGGAGTGCAATGGCGTGATCTCGGCTCACCGCAGCCTCCGCCCCCTGGGTTCAGGCAATTCTCCTGCCTCAGCCTCCTGAGGGCATGGTGGCACGTGCCTGTTATCCCAGCTACTCAGGAGGCTGAGGCAGGAGAATTGCCTGAACCCAGGAGGCGGAGGATGCAGTGAGCCGAGATCGCGCCATTGCACTCCGGCCTGGGTAACAAGAGCAAAAACTCCATCTCAAAAACAAGAAAAAAGAAAAACACGCGCTTTGAATGAAGAGACCTTCCAAACAGGCTTTGTGTGAGCAACATGGCTGTTTATTCACCTGGGTGCAGGTGGGCTAAGGCCGAAAAGGGCATTAGCAAAGGGCAGTGGGATAGGAGTTGGTTTTATAGGTTTGGATAGTTTTTTGGGGGGCGGGGGTGTTGCAGAGTAAGTTCAGTTACAGTGGTGGGGGGTAGGGGCAAGGAGTATACAAGTTCAGTTACAATGGCAGGGTTGGGTGAGAAGTATTTACATTATCATAAGAACAGTTAAGATGGCAGGGTTGGGTGAGAGGTATTTACATTGTCATAAGAACAGTTAAGATGGCAGGGTTGGGTGAGGGGCTTGTGGGAAGCTCTGCTGGGCGATCAGGGACAACGGCGAGCAAAGGCAGCGGGTGGGAGACTTTAGCGGAGGCAAGCAGGATTTCAGACTTTCAGGCTCCAGGCTTGCATATGGAGACCTGACAGTCAAGTCTTTTAGGACTGGCCTTGGGTTGGATTTTTGCTTCTTTTGTGTCTTCATTGGCTATCATTGCAGGCCTGGAGAGAGTGCTTACTGCAGAACTTGCTACTGCACAAACTTTTGTTTCAGGGTTAAATCAGGAAGGGTAGTAAGGAAAACTGAGCTGCCTCCAAAGAGCTGGGATAGAAATCCGTCCTTTAGAAGTTAAATTACAAATCAAGCCAGTCAGAGCTGTGGGAAGAGATGGCCAGTGTTCCTGACAGTCTTGCTTCTGACAGGAATAGCTAAGCTGCAGATTTTAGGGCCAGATGGCCTTGATTCAAACTCTGCCACTAACGTACATAATAACTGTGTGAACCTTGGGATTTCCTTCATCTTTTTTCCCCCCAACTGAAAAATAAATAGATTATAATATACCACATGATACTAGGGAGAACTAAATGAGGTAATGCATGTAACAGCACTTCTCTAGCAAATACTGAAGGAAATCAGTAAGTTGGCATTCTGACTTTATACATCAGTGCTAATCAATGAAATTTTTGGTCCCACAAAGTCAAGGACCAAACCTGGATCTTGGGAAATCACCAAGACGAAAGACTTCAGGCCAGCCTTTGCCTCCTGATGCTCTCTGTTCACATGTGTGATATCTATGAAAGGTAACCAGGATTTGGCTTATCTGCTTACATCTCTACCTGTCTTTTCCTCATCTTCATCTTTTCAAACATAGTTTTTATGCAGAAGCAGATTTAACTCTACTTTGCTATCTTGGAGTCAAGAATTGTCCTATAAGGATGAAGAGGCTCCAAGTCTTACCTTTTCTTTATTTTGAGCCAGAGTCTTGCTCTGTTGGCCAGGCTGGAGTGCAATGGCACAGTCTTGGCAACTTCCACCTCCCAGGTTCAAGCAATTTTCCTGCCTCAGCCTGCCAAGTAGCTGGGACTACAGGCACATGCCACCACACCCAATTAATTTTTTGTATGTTTAGTAGAGACGGGGTTTTACCCTGTTGCCCAGGCTGGTGTCAGACTCCTTACCTCAGGCGATCTGCCTGCCTCGGCCTCCCAAAGTACTGAGATTACAGGCTTGAGCCACTGCACTTGGCCAAGGCTTGCCTTTTTTGTTTTTCTTTTTCCTTCATACTACAGACTAAAAGTATCATCTTTTGGGTGGAGAAACAGGCTGTTTTTTGAATGTCGTTTGGCCTGCCCCGCTTTCCCACCTGCTCTTGAGGGAACTATGGCAAGGACACATGCAAGCCCCTCTATCAGTCACAGACCAGGGCCTCCATCTTGCAAGGAATGTGCCCAAATTACAAACGGGTAAACCAAAGTGACTCTGGCCAGATGTAATAGTTTATTTTGTTTTCTTGTTCCCATTATAACACACTGCTCTGTGTTTGCTCTATGGCAAACTTCCATGTTTGCGCTGCAATAAATATACACAACACAGCAAACTGTTTGGAGTATGACGTCTTGCCAATGTTTTCTAAAAGCAAGTGAATAGAAATGCTTGCAAAAATATTTTCAGACCTCAGTAGCCAGTGCTAAACACCGCTGCAGGAATGTCCATCCAACACTGAGGCTGTGCTCTGCTCTGACAAAAACCTGGTTCCGTGGCATAATTGTAGGGACTAGTTGTCAGGCTAAGTTTGAGACACTTCCAAAAAAAAAAAAAAAAAAAAAGTTGCAGGGCTTCCTCAGTCTTTAAACTCCAGATAATACGTCCAAACTTTGACAACTATCCTGTTATCATGGAGACAGCTCCAAGTTGATGGCCTGGCCATTGGAGAATGTCTATCAAACATCCAGATAAACAGTGATTTGGTTGCTGCTCTCAAGGAGCCCACCTAGAAGCTGACAGAAATTTCAGGTATTTTCTTCCTTCTATTACTTCATTCCTAAAACTCTGGAAGTAGGTATGATTATTATCCCCATCCCACAAGGGAAGTAACTAAGTCTAACTAGTTGAATATTTTGCCCCAAATCACAGACAATAACAAACAGCCAGACACTGAACCCTGGAATCTCTAAATCTGTAGATATTGATGGGCACCGCTTAGACCAAGGAGTCCAAACCTGAGGCTTGCTGTTCCCGTTTCTCTTATCGGATGAAGGGACCCGACGTCATTGACTTTTGGTTTCTTCGCCGACCCCAGATGAGGTGCCTGGTACCTCACGGTCAAGTTCCCTCCAACGGGAGCCCCTCAGAGGCCTGGTCCCAGCTGCTCAGCCTGGCACTCGCCTCCTCAGGCCAGAGCCCGAGGCGCTGCCAGCCACATGCCCAAGTAGACGCTGAATCTCTGAAGGGCAGATGGAGGAACCTGTCCGCATCGGCCGAGGCGGCGCGGGCGCCTTTCCACTTGCAGCGGGCCTGCCCAGCCCGGGCCAACGTCTCGCCGAGGCAGGTGTGCGTGGCGGACTAGCTCGCGGGCACTCGGCCGGCCCGGCTCCAGCCCGAATGCCACCGGGTAGGCCACGCGCAGACCCCAGCCCGCCGACCCCGCCTCTGGCTGCCGGCCCGCGGCCGCCGCGCCCGTCGCGCGCTCGCGCCTGGTCCCGCCTCCCAGAGGTTTTCGCTTTCGCTTTCCTGCAGATGTCGTTGAGGAAAATGAAAGCGGTCGTGGCCTGGACTGGCGCAGCTCCCGTAGCAGGCGAGGGGCGCAGAATGCAGCGGCGGCCGGCCTGGAGCGCGGGCCCTGCACCGGGCGAGGTAAGCGCAACCCCTTCGCGGCCGCCTCGCGGGCTCCTCCTTGCGGACCCATTGGGCCGGACGCCAGGCGTTTGACGCTGGCAGGGTCGGAGGTCCTGCCGCTGGGGCGGGGAGGGCCTGAGACGCGGCACCGTTGGGTTTCGTGGCTTTGAGCCTCCAAACGGGGCTGGAAGACCTGGGAGGCTTCAGACAAGCGTGCCAAGGGTCTAGCAGCCCAGGGTGGACTGGGACCGTGGCAAGTCGGGCCACCTGAGCACACCTTTCCTTTGTATAGAGCACCGACCTCCCTGGGTGTTGGTAAAAACCGAAGTGGGAGGATGTAGGTAAAATGCCCAGCAGGATGCTTAACCTGAGCTTGTAATCTACTCTCTCTTACCTGTCAGACGCGCTTTTCCCTCTGGGCCCCACCCCGTCCCTCCTGTAGTTTGCCTAAGTTTCCTAGATCTGGTGCACCTGGGGGCACTTGGGGTGCCTTCCAAGTGTTTCATGACCTAGCAAGCTGGCAGCTCATCTCCTTTGATCGTGGGCATGGAGAGCAACTAGGCCAGGATTTGGCCTCCTTGTCCTGGCCCTGCCCATGTGAAATGAGGGGCTCACTCCGCTGGGGCCTCCATCCTGGTGCTGGCATAGATGGTCAGGGAAGGGTACACTTACAGATGGAGTCCTTCCCAGACCAGGAAATTTCCAGTCCACTGCATCTGCCAGCAGAAGCATGAAAGATGCATGCCACCTTGTCTTTGCCCTTTGTCAGGTGTAGCCAACTCATTCTTGGTATGCAAGAAGGGGGTTCCACCCCAGGGCTGCGGAAACAGCCCCTGCCCTTAGTGGGTTCCCCATCCTCTGGGAAAAGAAAATATGTATGCAAGTTACCCATAAGGCAGGTTGTGTAGAACAGGGACAGATGGGTGAAAGAGCTAAGAGCTGAGAGTAAAGTGACTAAATCATCGGGTACGTAACTTACATTTAAGTAATGACAGGTTCCACAAGGCAATACCAAAAATCCCCTTTAACTCACTTTCTGTCTCAATAATAATAATGAATTCAGCCTAATCTCACAGATCTGATCATAAGGCCCATTACCGAAACAAAACTTGAATGACCTTAACTTTGAAAAAACCATCTGAATTTGCCAAAACATGGTCCGAGGTCCTAAGCTTTAAAACATGGGGTCCCTGCTGCCCTACCTCAGGATGGTGTTGTGTACTGATTACTTTTAGAAAATGCTGCTGTTTTCATGCGCCAGAAAATTAGATTCACTTCTGTTCACATTCCATTGGCATGGACTAGTCTCATCTGTCTCACCTAGTTGTAAGGTGGCTGGGAAATGTAGCCTGGTTGTGTTCCCAGGAGGAAGAGAACAGAGAGATTGGTGAGCACTAATAACCTCTTCCACAATCAACTAAAGTAGTGAATCACTTTATCATGATGTGTTTGTAATATACTTTTGGATTTGCTTGGATAATATTTTATTTAGGAGTTTAACATCCATGTTTATAAGCAAAGCTATCCTGTATTTTTCTTTATTTGTACAGTCCATATTCCGCATTTCAAAATTAAGTAACCTCAAGTTGGGCAATGTTTCCTCTTTTCTTCTATTTTCTAAAGCAACTCTATTAAGATAGAGATTTTCTGCTCCTTGGAAGTTAGTAGAAGGCACTTGTAAAACCTTCTGGGTCTGAAACTCTATGGGGAAAAGGTTTCAAAATTATTTCAATCTCTTAAGTGGTTATTCACATTTTCGTGCCAATTTTGGCAATTTTTATTTTCTATAAATGTATTCATTTCATCTGTATTTTCAAATGAATTATCATATATTTATATTATTTCTTTATAAATTTTAAAATGTCTTTTATTTGTCATTTCTTCCTTTTTCTGTAATCTTGTTTTTTTTTTTCAATCTTCTGTCAGTTATTCTTGATCAGTCTCACTACAGATTTATCTGCTTTCAAATAAATACTTCAGGTTTTGTTAACGACCTTTTGTTTTGGTCCTCTATATCCTCTTTTTCACTGATTCTGCCCTTACATTTATTATTCCATTTTTTCATGTTTCTTTGGAAAACACAAAAAAACATGCTTTTTGTAATAGATTCAAACAGTGTAGACATTTGTAAAGTGAAACAGAAAGTCTACTTCTGCCTCCTGTAAACCCGCTCTCTATGGCCAACCACAGTTATCACATTGGTGTGTTTTTCTGGACCCTTTCCTGTGCTTATACAAATATTTTTCTTTCTTTCTTTCTTTTTTTTTTTTTTTTTTTGAGATGGAGTTTCACTCTTGTTACCCAGGCTGGAGTGCAATGGCGCGATCTTGGCTCACTGCAACCTCCGTTTCCTGGGTTCACGCAATTCTCCTGCCTCAACCTCCTGAGTAGCTGGGATTACAGGCACGCGCCACCATGCCCAGTTAATGTTTTGTATTTTTAGTAGAGACGGGGTTTCACCATGTTGACCAGGATGGTCTCGATCTCTTGACCTCGTGATCCACTCGTCTCGGCCTCCCAAAGTGCTGGGATTACAGGCGTGAGCCACGGTGCCCGGCTTTTTAAGCATGTTTTTTACTTCTCTTTTTTCCTCACCTTTTCCCCACAGGCATATATGCACGTAGGTGTCTGCCCAGGAATTATTAAAATAATCTGGACAATTCCAGTTGTTATTAATTTATTATGCTTCAAATTACACTTTCCTTTTTCTATTTTAGAAATATTAACAATTGCAATATAAACTAACCTATTTGTGCAATTGCCTATTACCTAGGATAGGAAAGTTTAAACATGTATTTTTTCAGATTTTTCATTGACTTGCTGAAAATTTGCAGTGAATTATATGCTGAGTAATGCTTCTCTGGGTCTCTTATTTCTCAAAGTATACTTTGGAATCCATGCAGTTCTGATCCTCATTTGACCTTTGCGGCACAAAGGCATTCTGAAATATTTGCAAATGCTAAAGTCACTTCCTCGTGTTTTACAGAGTTTACTTGGTGAAACCAAGTGCAACATCAGTTTGTTGTAAGCTTACCGCGGTTCATAAAATAGCCCTGCCCTAGGGTCAGGAACTAGATAGAGGAGCATGAAAATAGCCTTTGGGCCGGGTGTGGTGGCTCAAGCCTGTAATCCCAGCACTTTGGGAGGAGGGTGGATCACGAGGTCAAGAGATCGAGACCATCCTGGTCAACATGGTGAAACCCCGTCGCTACTAAAAATACAAAAAAAATTAGCTGGGCATGGTGGCGCATGCCTGTAATCGAGCTATTCAGGAGGCTGAGGCAGGAGAATTGCCTGAACCCAGGAGGTGGAGGTTGCGGTGAGCCGAGATCCCGCCATTGCACTCCAGCCTGGGTAACAAGAGCAAAAACTCCGTCTCAAAAAAAAAAAAAAAAAGAAAAGAAAATAGCCTTTGAAGATTCAGCTGCTGGATATTTTACACTAAAAAGCTGAAACGTTTGCACTATTTTAATATTTTTGTTTATAGTACTTTAATATTCATTAAGGTGAAGTAAAATGGGCACTCTCATGGTAAAACTAACTTGGATGTGTTTGGGCTTTGGTTATCAGAAGCTCCGTACCTTTTATCCCAGTTCTACTTCAAAAATATGTCCTAAGGCATGTTTTCATGTGAGGTTATTTCAGGTGGCGAAGGGTAATTCTGGTTGGGACACATTTGCCACATTGTCTAACACTGACTCACAGTGAGAAAGTTATTCCCCTGCTCAATTCCTTTTCAGCTTTCTGATCAAGGGAAAGAGAAAAACTTTAGCTTGGTGCTGGCTTGTCTTTAATGTCTCTCTAAGCCTCTCTAATCTCCCATTTGATACAAAAGAATGAGCAAGGGGTAGCAGTGTCTTGACTATATTTAAACCAGAGTGGTTTTTTATTCCAATGAAACATTCTTATGATTGCCTTCATTTATGGTGTATGTTGGTTTTCCACTTAAATAAAGTAATAAGGTTTGCTTTTTTTTTTTTTTGATGGAGTCTTGCCTGTGGTTCAGGCTAGAGTGCAGTGGCGTGATCTCGACTCACTGCAACCCCTGCACTCTGGGTTCAAGTGATTCTTGTGCCTCAGCCTCCTGAGTAGCTGGGACTACAGGCATGTGCCACCATCCCCAGCTGATTTTTTGTATTTTTAGTATAGGCAGGGTTTCACCATTTTTGCCCAGGCTGGTCTCTAACTCCTGATCTCAAGCAATCTGCCTGCCTTGGCCTCCCAAAGTGCTGGGATTACAGGTGTGAGTCACCGTACCCAGTCAGGTTTGCTTTTTTTCTTTTTTTCTTTTTTTTCTTTTTTTTTTTTTTGAGACAGAGTTTCGCTCTTGTTACCCAGGCTGGAGTGCAATGGCGCGATCTCGGCTCACCGCAACCTCCGCCTCCTGGGCTCAGGCAATTCTCCTGCCTCAGCCTCCTACGTAGCTGGGATTACAGGCACGCGCCACCACGACCAGCTAGTTTTTTGTATTTTTAGTAGAGACGAGGTTTCACCATGTTGACCAGGATGGTCTCGATCTCTTGACCTCGTGATCCACCCGCCTTGGCCTCCCAAAGTGCTGGGATTACAGGCTTGAGCCACCGCGCCCGGCTCAGGTTTGCTTTTAAAATACATTTGTTTAAGGACAGAAATGAGTTGCTATAAAGAGAAATGTTAAGTATATTACAGATGATATTTAATTATAGCAAAATAATAATGGCAATGCATGGATATAGGAAATAGGACCCTAAGGAAATAATCAGAGCTATACACACAGATATTCCTGTAGATGAGGGCTATTACTATAGATGAGTGTTGAAAAAATGAGCTTCAAACAGGCTTTGTGTGAGCAACATGGCTGTTTATTCACCTGGGTGCAGGTGGGCTAAGACCGAAAAGGGCACTAGCAAAGGGCAGTGGGATAGGAGTTAGTTTTATAGGTTTGGGTAGTTTTTTGGGGGGTGGGGGTGTTGCAGAGTAAGTTCAGTTACAGTGGTGGGGGGTAGGGGCAAGGAGTAAACAAGTTCAGTTACAATGGC